GCCACAAGCTGCTAGTTTCCGTCTGCACCCTCAGCCTTTGTTTCGCGCCCCGTGCTTCCCGGGTTGCGATCGAGGGCCTCTTCTCGCTTTCGTTTCGTGCTGAGGCATTCAAGTTATTCACCTGGGCGATGTCTTCTTAAATCACACAATCACTCTGTCACCACTCCCGCCGTTATCTTCAAGCTTCTATCGCATCTTCTACTTCCTGCTAGTGAACCAGGTTTCGGATCGACCTGAGCCTTATTCTGTCCCTACAACGTAAGATATTCCTGGTCCTTCTGCCATCAGCAAGATCAAGGTTGTCACGTGAAGGCAATGAACAAAGAGTAACCCGAGTTCACGATCACCATTTATCCCAATGAGATTTATTCCACTCCCAGAACACCCATTCATCACAAGCCCAAGTCCGCAGCATACTTCCACGCGCCTTTTCCGCGTCTCTCAATGCGCGCTACAGTTCCTCGCATTCCATTTGTCGAGTTCGTCCGGGTCAGATTCACGAACCAGCCTCTTATTCCACCACTTCATAGCCGAGCGAGGATCTTAGTAGCCGACGAACTGAACTTGGTACTCAGGCAATTCACTATCGCATCTCTCGGCATGGATCTTAAAGACGCCAGCCTTTTCACCGTTGCAGCCGCAGTTGTTCCTACGCCCGCCCTGGCGCTTCCAGTAATTTCGTATGAGGGCCTCATCCATACCTTGAATGCAACGATCTCGGAAATATGCGCGTTACGTTTCCTTGACACGAGAGCCGTGTCCCATAGTCCACTCGATGTTAAACATAACGCTATGCTGGACGGTATCGCCGAACGTGTCTTTGGTCTTGTTTTCGGTCTTATTGTATGCAAATCCAAAGGAAATACATCGACGATATATACTCGTTGGCATTTTCGAGATATTCTTCAAGTTAGCCTGGGATACTGTAGGAGGTGCGCGTGTTGGGAGGCTTACCAGTGGTGTTGCTAAGGACAGGGGTTTGAAGTTCTTGGTCTTTGCGTGTATTGCGGATGCTCCTGAAGGGAACAGCTTGAAGGGAACTGGCTGGGCGCGCTAGAGACGAGGTAGAGATAACAATGAAAGGAACAGACTTATGGTGAAAGGAGGAAGGCTTGTTCTTCGTTGGCTCTTCGTTCGTTTTGATGCGCAAGAGCCCTGAAGGTCATGTGCAGGGTCTGTGAATCACCGAGGGAGACTGCTGACGTTCCTCTGGTCGGATCAAGGCCCTAAGAAGTGGGGTGTATTGTAAGAAGAACACTTACCCCCATACGCTTATAATGAGGGACGAGTCCTCTACAGCAGCATGCCACGATAAGTCTACCGCCTGTAGACATTTTCACACTCAGGCACTCGGCAGAGTGCCCGTAGAAAAATATTTTCATGAACTGATGATCAGAATGCAATGGTCCAAGCAGGGTGCCGAGTCGTAGTCGAGCTTATATTGAGGTAGACTATAAGTCTCCTCTTTTCTCCTGATCTGACGGATAGAATGGAGTAGCTACTTGTAGCTCGTTTTGTCTAACCTCTTTATCGCTGGTCATGATGGCCTTAACGGGCCACACATAGGTGGTTAAAAAGCTTAAAAGGCCCTTTCCACTCAAGGTAGAGAGGGCGATAAGTCTTCGTTTAATATTCAGTGTGCTTAAACCCAATACTAGAGTCAACCGTTAGTCTCTTCTTGGCGACTGGTGCGGCTGGGCAAGGAAACAGTTGTCCGGGAGCTACTAAGCATGGAACTGGGAAGACCGCATCGATCCGAGCTTCAGTCTGGGTAACCTCGACCTGATACAAACGGCCACTAAGTTCATTGACGAGGTTTTTTATTAAGCGCAAGCTGAGTATCCCTAACGAGGCCACCGCTTCCATTCGTACTCCCACCGCTCCCTAGAAGTGGCCTGCGCACGTACCTAATCCTCTTATCTATCAGGGTCTTCGCCACTGACCTCAATAATCTCGACTTTTGTCGAGGACTAGGTTTTTCTCCGTTATGGAAGGAGACCTTGCGGGCTGAGGATTGGGCTAAGCCTATAGGTGACGCCACGCCACATCCCCTCTTGGCTTCAAAGTTTGAGGCCCGTTCTTATCCCTGCTGCATTCCTTGTTACCCTCGACGGTGACCGGATGTGACACCTGCGTCTATGGAAACTCGAATGCAGAGGATATAACCTGTGCAGCAGCTTCAACATCCTGCTCTCATCCTCTTTATCTCTGGTTCTAATGGTCTCAATAGTAGGTAAAACGCAGGCAGCATGACTGGACTCCAAGAGATGATCTTTGGCATCGTTCGTCGGTTGTCTGAGCTAGTGAGAACCATTTGAATGTCGCCGCCAAGATTCATTCTTCTACTCAATTTTATGGCTATGGTGAAGTGAGATGGTGTTATGCCGGGAAAGAGTAATGAAGTTGGTTCCGTATGAAGTTGGAGTCCATTCTTAACGGCCCATGCATAAGACGAGGTTACCTTTTGGTCCATTGCGTATCGTGGCTATTACTTCTATTTACGCTTAAGTCGATGGTCTCGGTGATCTTTTGAATGTTGTATCAAGGAGACAAACTCCTTGTCTTTGGCGACGAGAAGGAACATCGAACCTACCTATCCGACCTCATTAACTTTGACCTCAAAACTGCCCACTGGACCCAACCCCAAGTTTTGGGCCCCAACATAACTCTTGCTGGCCATCTCATAAACCATAAGAATTTTGTACTACACAGCGACCCGAGGTTTGAGGGTTGAGACGACCCCAAACAGGCATGTCCGCTAAGGTAGTCATACTACAACCGTTTTGAGTTCTCTGCCAACATATCTAGGTCACCACTCCTGGGAAGGTAACGACCAAGTCCCAATCCGTTGTCGTCCCTGCTAATACGCCACTCTCGCCGTCCAGACGAAGGAGTTCGCCTGGTCATTTAGTGATATCACCAGAAAGCATGGTGATTAACACAACCAAAAAGGCTCACAACCCAAAGATAAAAACAGCGAAAATGCCATCAGAAAACTTAAAGAGAACCGACGTCTTCCGTGGACACGCGAAGCTCCCGAAACACGACTACAGGGCAACATATAGATAACGTTGCCCTTGCAACCCCTGCCGGCAAAACCACGAGCCTGAGATGCGCGAGGATCGCGACCTCATCTTGCACAATGAGATCTAACCCAACTGAAGTGATGGGCAATCGTCCGGACCAGCTGAGATTCCGTCCACCTCGTTAGCCAAACTCATCCATCTCTCCAATATGCAAGTGAGGTTTCTAGAGCACTATTGCCAGAGATTGCAGATGACGCTACCTAACACCTCGATTGTCCTATTCTGCATGTTTGCGTCCAAGCCAGGATTGGGCTTGGGGTCGAGGCGAAGCAAGCCCCGTACACCTCCCCATCACAAGAAGCGACCCCAATCATCAACCACGACTAGCTCATCCTTCGACAACAAAGAGGCGACCCAAACCGCCTCGTGGAACAATCTGCTCCAATTCCTTCTACCGCCTTCAATGAACGCAAACACGGTGACTTCTGGACCCTCAAACAAGCCTTGGCAAGAAACGACGCCGACGTGGCCTTAAATCAGGGCATGGCAGTATGCTAACACACGGCCAACATCAGTTTTGTCGCTGCTGCAAAAAATATGTCCATTCGAGTAGCTACAGCTGCAGAATTGACAACTGACGCTATGCATATCTAGCTGTTAACAAGGAAAACGAAACCAGCTCTCGAGCAACTCGGCAGCTGCTTCGGCGGCATGGCTTCCGGTGCTATATCACCTAGCCGCCTATGAAGTTGACGATAGCAGCACTTTTCCAGAGCAGTGTCTAGGGCTTATGGTGACTATTCTAGTCATTCTGCAATGGTGCTTTGCCATAATGCTATCTGCTAACATAGTCACGTATCCCTATATTAAGCCAGCAGGAGTGCAAATTAAGTTATTCTAGGTCAAGACTAGCTAGGATAGTATCTTAAAATAAAATCAGGCTCTCTTAAAGGTTTAGTTATATAAATATATTCTTTAAGTTATAAGCCTAAAATATTAAGTAGGGGTTTTAGTAATAAGTAATTATCTTTCCTTATTATATTTATATTTAATAGGAGTTTACCTTTTATATAATTAATACTTAAAACTATAAAAGAAATTTAATAAGGATATTATAAGATAGGTAAAAGGCTTAATACTTATTATTAGTAGCTTAATAACTAGCTTTTAATTATTCTTAATAAGTATAAGATTTTATATAAATAAGGTTATATAAGCTAGGAATCTCTTATTAGGTATAATTAGGTAATATTTTATAGGCTATTAATATAATAATATTATTATATAAATCTCTAAACTAGTTTAAAAAAAGACTATTTATAAAAGCTAGTATAAGTAAGTAACTTTTATTAAGGAAAAATATAAGTATATTAAAGCAGATATTACTAATAGAGAATAATCTAATTAATTTATATTATATATATACTAGATCTAAACTATAGGGTTAAATAATCTAGTTAGTAAAGGTATTACTCTTATATAGTAGAAAGAATAATAAGCAGAACTGGTTAGGAGGCCGAATAGCTAAAAGACTTTTTGGCCCTAAACCAGATGCTATTAATATCTTACTGGCGCGTGATAGTTATAGATTTTGAGGAAAGGGAAGCCTGTGTCTTTCGGAAGGAAAGTGGCTTAGGTGGTCGATCAGAGAGGAAACTGCCGCACCGAAAGAGGCTTAAGAGAATTAATAATCAGGTCTAACGATGAAAAGCCCTCTCGTAAAGCCAGGTTGAGTACTAGACCGGGTTTCAGTATCTGATACAGTTGTATCATCACCTACGGCAGGAGCACTGATTTCACATACTCATATCGCAAGATGACAATATATAATACTAATACATACTCGCGTAGCTCGGCCACTGAGTCCTTATTAATTTACTAGTTGTAGTACTATGAATACAATGATAGGGCTACAGCATGTTCATACCCTTATACACTGTTCTTTTCTTCGACTATCAAAGCTTTCTAGTTTTTAAGTTCTCTTTGAGGAGGCTCAGTCTGTGCAAGGAACTGTTTTAGCAATGGATCGAGTCTTGTGACCTTCATGATGGCTCTTTCTTTGGCTTTAAAATGACTTCGTATATCATATTGGTCACTCCCGGTGATCAAAAGCGCTGGGCTCCGCCGAAGTCGCTGAATAGTTCTCCGGCTCAATTGAGGAAGAGATTGGATGGCATCCATGAGCATAACGGCGTTGTGGCGTGATGGAAGCACGATTGTGGGTCTGCACGGTTTGTACGCGAAACGGACGGACGTTGATGAGATAGGGATGCGGAATGGGTCTTCGTACTCGTCTCCCAGCCTCGGAGGATAGAATCTCCAGTGTAAGGCATATGCCAAATCATCGCCACCCTGTGCCCATCGGGGGCCTGTGAGATCTACGAGGCACTGCAACGCTTCTTGGCATCTGCGGTTTCTTGATTTGGGTCGCATCTGATGCGGGTCCTCTTTATTAAGGACAAATCGTGACCATAACTGCTGAAAATGATCGGCACGGCTCTGAAACTGCTCATCGCTCAAGATCAGAGAGACGGTAACTGGCGATATGAGGGGATTGCGGCATTGATAGTCATCTATCGAGGCCCAGGAGCATCCCATATTACTCTTTGGTGGCGAAAAATACGGAGCCCAGAACTGTATTCAGAAAAACGATGGCTGATCCGTGTACCAGGTTCCCGAACTGGAATTCGTCCCAATCTCCTTAGTTCGATCGCTGTTAAAGGTAACCAGAATGGAATTCCCAATCATGCGACCGAATCGGACATCAAAAGGTCCCGTATAGTTCCCGAATTACTTCCTAAATCTCCACGAATCTTCGGTATAGCTTCAAAAAGCCGAGTCCATTCTAGGTTGGTCGATCTGGGCGGCTAAAAAGGCGCTGAAATACGAACTCGGACCAAGCGTCCTCGGGCGGCAGAAGCTTACGTGCTGCCTTCTAACAAGGTATTTCTTCCGGTGTCTGTTCGGATGGCGAACCTAGAAGAATATCGTTATGTATACCCTAAACTTCGCCATAGATTTCCCATATAGTCTGAGCAGTTACGATGTGGCCAACCTGGGCGACTGATTCCTCTTGACTCTGCCTTAAACGACGAATGCAAGGAAGTGCGTTGGGTTTTTCTGCGGTAAAACTTGACTCCAGTACTGTTGCATCTTTGAGAGCATATGTAAATGATACGCCCGAGCGACTTCTTCAACAGTTAGATGCGTGATACTTTCGACTAGCTCTACGGCCTTTTGGCTATGCCCACGGTCGAATTCAAGTCGAGCCTCTTGGACCACTGTTGTAGACAGTGCTCAACAGAGACTTTGTTTGTGGTAAAGAACTGGACATTTGGCTGGTGGATGAAACAGTTATGAACAGGATTCCGGGGTAGGTAGATCTGAACAAGGGTCTCTATGGCGATGTGTCCACCACTCCAGTCCATACAATGTTGGGGAATCCACGGCATCCCGGACTTAGTCACTGAATCGTCGAGTCCAAGACCGCGCCGCTCTAGTCGTGACCTTTTTTTGCCCATTGTGTACTGTCCATCGTGATTGCCAAATCCAGTTATCGTATAGGAAACGTTGCTCGGCATTGAGACAATGCATGAGAAGTCGACAAAAGAGCTGAGCAGTGCATAAAGCAAGAATTCGTTGAGGCGAGGATGTTGAAGCAAAAACGGGGTTGATTGTGTTGTTAGTTCTAAGTTACATGTGTCCGAGAGGAGCATAGCTCCTTACATAGTATCCACATCCAAGCCACCAGCAGATCGGACCACCTTCGCCGCACTGTCTCAACAAAATTATATCCGTTGGATACCGTAAATCACGTAGTTCATCCTGATTGCGTAGAATGTTTGGGATCTGTTTTATCTTCTATACCAGATCCTGTCGATTCTCTGGCTGCATATCGCGATATCGTGTTTTCAAATGAGTAGCAACCTCATCGGCTATAGAGGGAAACCTACAAACCTGATACACGAGAAGGCGGTATATAGAGAGAAGAATATTGGGATAAATTGCACTACATGCTTCATATTGTAAATTAGAAGCCATAATAGTGATTACTATAATGAATTAGTTGCTGATAGTATGATCTGAATAAAGATTATGCTTTGATTAATAATAACACTATTTAGTAGTATATAATACTTAATAGCACTTTATGCAATAGGACGCGTCGCGTTCTATAATAAACCCCTATTCTGATCAGCACTACCCTTCCTGTGTGTAGAGTAATATAAAATTAACTCTATACCCTGGCAATAATCAACCCTACTAGATTTAAAGTGGGTTAATAAAATCAACTCTAGTAGAGTTGATTTAATCATTAGTTACTGGGTCCGTTCGGGACGTAAATGCTCCGTCGTGGTGGCTCAGTAGTGGTGCGAGGTGGGATATTGTTAGGCAGCAGCTTACGATCAGCGGTTCCAAAAGTGATTGCGAAGGTGGGAGAGAACTCATTGGGGTTGGAGATAAAAGGCTGACAAAATTACGGAAGTGACCTCTCTAGGCTGGTTGCAATTAAGTGGCGTTACTAAAGAGAAGCTGGTGGGCACGAGGTCCTCGTCGACGTTGTTCGTGGGACAACGTGGAATGAGGAGAAGTACTGACATCTCCGAAAGAACAACGAGCGTGACACCATTCTCGACGGAACTAAGCACCAAGGCCCTGAAGGAAGAGCTCGATTATGCTGCCGGTGTTGGCGCACAACTTCCAAGGCTGAGCCCAGGCCGACCACCCCGAAGCCGCATGCGACAATGTTGAAGGATATGTGAACGTATGCGCCAGAGCCTCTAGGGCCCTGCGCCTCGAAGTGCCTGAGAACAGTAAACAACTTCCGTGATCAAAACTACACCATATTCCGCCTCATATTTCACTCAGACACTACACCAAAAACCGAGCTAGAGACAGTCCTTGAACACAAACCTCCAGTGTACCTCCTGCAGCGACAAAGCCGCAGTCTTTGCCTCCATAACACTCGTAGGAAGCGTAAGACTCGTTACGTGGCCAGACACGTCAAGGGCGACTGAGTTCATTGACAGCCGAGACCCATCGGGAGATTGACCGTGGTTGACCACAGATGCGCCCATTGAGGGAGCTGCCAGCCCTGGCTTCACATCCTTGCGCTTGTGCTCAACAGCCATGTTTGGATTCGGGGACTTGAGGGAATTGTCCTGCCTCTGTAAAGCTTATCATCATTTCTGTCATCTTGAGGCTGACATCAAACAAGGAAATCCGCGGAAGACCGATGTTTAATCACGAGCCAAGCCAGCTGCGTAGAACTTCGATCGCCGCTAGTTTAAGCTCAACAACATCCCCATTCCTCAGAATAATGCCGTTAGATCCATTAATAATAAATTGTCTCTTAAAATATCATAATAAGGGAGTAAAGGAGGTATTTTAAAGTAAATCCCTTGGTAAGATTTATGTTAAGAGAAGGATATAAGTCAAATTCAAAAGAGTATTAGTTAGTACTTGTCTGCTATCTTAAACGAGGGAAAGCCCCATCGTATAAGTATATAGATCATAAACATGCATTCTGGCCTCGCCACAGAGTAAATATATAATAAACCCATTTCAAGTACCATTTGCAACATCCCTTCAACATGTCATCAATTCGGGAGCTTCTCACCACTGGTTCTTATTTCAGGCGATGCAAAAGGGACCTGACTGTTCAGCTTTCCCAGTTGGGGATTAATATAAGATACCAGGCGTAAGTCTCCCCCACGTTGTATAGAGCAGCCAATATAGGTGTGAACACCAAGGCCGCCAGCAAGGGCCTTTGTATCACTAGAAAGAGTGAGCTGCATTCAATATAATGATAAACGCGCCTTGACTTACAACAAATTTCCCAGGCATCTGGAATATAACTCGGCACTCACTGACGCTGTTCGAAGATGTTGCCGCTGTCCGACCTGTTCCGTTAAGAAATCCTTCAAGACCTTGATGATTTGCTGATCATTCTTTGCATAATGTCGTACAGGAATATAAATCTTGACTTTTGGGGCTTCTACATTCATGCGAAACTCGACGTTGTAGAGAATACCGGCTGTTCTGTGGTCTTTGTAAGGGAGGGGGATATCGTCAGGCTTATTGTGCATGCCCGTTAAAGCATCCCAAAGCCGCCTCAGCCTCTTCATACCCGTCTCAAATTCGGGGCCCTGTATTCGGCCCCCTAGGGACATAGTCTCCTTGACGGAGCCAAAGTCTGTCCTTCTCTCCCGAAAGTAGATCTTAAGCCTGGCCTTTTCTAAAGGAACTAGGTCTAAAGCCAACATGTCTATCTCGGGCTCCAAGCCTGGATGCTGGTATACAAAGTCGCTGTAGATGTGTAAGGGGATCTGCATTCCGATTCTGCATCCAGGGGCAGATGTGATAGCATCTGCGATGACTATCAATTTGGACCGATGAGTTGCATGCGCCACAACGCCGGGGAAGAAGTACGCTTTATTCGTAATAGTTTTCTCGTTGAGGTCGAAAGCCCAAAAGAAGGTCGAACAGTGACCTTCTGGGTTTCTATCGGCCCAACTCCCATTAAAGCATGCTTCAAAGTGGTCAAGCAAAGCGGTCTCTATATCTGGATATGCCTTGAACAGGGCTTGCTTGAAGGCCGCCGCAGTTCCCTCGTTGTACCGATTTGTACCGGTACCAGCATCGGCTCCAATGGGTTCGATGGAATAGCGGATGGTGGGTTGGTCAACGCCGGTGTGGAAGTCCCAACTCAGTTCGATGGGAGTATGGTCGTCGGTCATGAAACTCTCCCAGCGCGGAAGTTCTGACCAAGGGGCAACGCCTAAATATGGCGTAACAAGATTTGCAATGTGATGAAGGATACTAACTTGGCTCTCATAACTGTACCCCGCACTATCTAGGAACGCTCCTAGCATGTAGCCAACGGTTTGGTACCAGTACTGCTGATGAGGCTCAGAGATGCCCTCCCACTTAGTTTTGACTAAGTGCCATGGTTTGGCTTCTTCTTGGAGGCGTTGCGAGGGAGTCATTTTCAGGCGAAGTCAGTTGAGTGGTTAACAAAAATGTTGATCATGAAATTTCTGCTGTTCAAACGTGTCCGCAGAGCACTTTATATAGGAATTCGTAAATCTCTATGGCAGATCTGGACGCATTTTGCCAACACTTGCCATCAGAAGATCGTTAAAAGCGGTGTAACGTCGTACTGAGGATAAAACGAATGAGAAAGGCAAAAGGGGATTCGGGCAAAATCCATCACGTGCATCCAATATTCAGCTAGACATGCTGCTGAGGCTTTTTAGGGATTGGAGCATTTAAGTTGATAGGGGCACGCTGATGCGTCCTGGGTCTGGCAGAGTGAGACACATACGCAAGAACTATGATATGATTAGAGACACTTATACAGGAAGCGTGGTCTGATTTAAGGTTTGCTTCAGCCTTCTCTATGAGCTAGAGTCATGACTATACACCTGATTTTGGTCCTGCAGCAGTTGCAATTTAATTATAACTGTTAATAGTATATGGTTGTGAATTATTAAGCTTCTCGAGGTTATTCAATACAAATGGCTTTTATTGGCTTCTCAGATGATGGTTGTAGCATTTCCTGTTCTTTTGAGTTGTGCCGCTGTTCAATGAAGTGTGCCCGGTGTAATCACATAAACATGCAGCCACACCAGAACCCGTCTGCTGTAACGATCGAGAATACTTAAGAAAACATGGGCCTCTACAAGGTTATTAAGTCTCAGCTCGTCATGGAAGATACCTTCCGGTCCGGACTCCCGTGGCTGAGTGGTGGGATTAGGGATCGACTATCGAGTCCAATCACAGAATTATGGTGTCCACCTGCAGTCGGCAAGACACAACTTGGTTGAGTTTTCGATGCATCGATTCCATTCTAGTGCATGTGAAAGCTCTGTGGAGTACTAGGCAGTACTTTCAACCACGTAGGTTTAGATGGATTCTGACACCCCTCAGAAGTCATGCTCCATAGGGTGTGAAACCGTTGGCAAAAGAACATGCTTTTCCCTTGCAGATGTACTGCACCTCGGAGCCGCAGGGTGGCCGACAGGTAATCTCCTCGAACCAAGTCCGAGGAACATGTTATGATTATCTCTGCGTAGAAGCGTGATCTACATATGTTTTGTATCGGGACCACAGAGCTCTTATCAGATCAGTGACGCGATTAAATTCGCTATTCGTTGTCAAACCAAGCTATATTCGATGTCTTGCAGGCACAAGATGCCGATTTACGAGTCGACGAAGCAGATCCTGATTTACTAAGTAGGTGTTCTGGAGCGGCACAGTGTCGTGTCTCTTGTCGTACACCTCACAGTCTACAAGTCATAGCGTCTCGTTACTTGCTTCCGGCGCGATCATCGATATACTCCGAGTTACGTTTATTTTGAGGATCTCTTTAGTGTAAAAATGGCACACATCACGTATATTGCTGAGTGTAATCACGCTGACGCACTGAGGTCGACGAAGATCCTGGCTATCAATGGCTTAGAAACACGCATAAAATAACATTGTGCAACGACACCTTTAGCCTTGCAAGATAACAATGTCATAATCATCTCCAGAAACCTGCAAACTAAGCTCAATCGTGTCCATCCTATCATCTATGTTGTAAATCTCGCAGAGCTCGCTATTATGGTAAACCCCATAAATCCCCTTCTCAAGTCCAGAAAATCGGGGTTGAAGTCTATCGTTTTTAATTAGCTTTGGATAAATCAATGCTGAGCCCACTGTGCACGTACTCTCTGGTCGTTCCGTCCCACGAACGTATTGTCATTGCAAGCGCCTTGCGTTTATCGTCCCAAGTTCCCCGAAGGAAGTCGACACCGCAAGATAAGTCGACGTTATCGACGAATGGACTTGTGGCGAAATGTGAGGTTGTCCATGGATCCGAATACATCTTGCGCTGGCCCTCGAATACATTAAGCCGCCCATAAGCTATTCCGGCATTTCCGCTAAAAGCATCAACGTTCGGTAAGCTATCATTTCCGGGTGCTGATGTTCGAAAAGGGTAAAATAAACCCCCCTGGTCCCAAGTTGGGTTAAAGGTAGAATCGACAAAAGAGAGTAAGCCATCCAAAGTATGTTGATCTCCCAACTCAGATACCCATTGAACTACATACCCAAACACAGATGGCGTTAACGGCCATACAGTCTGGGAGGTCTGTTCCTTGGAGGCAATCATCTCGGTTGCTTTAGCATAAGTCGAGGGCGCCATTGGATCTGCCCCCTCAGTCTTGACAAGTTCTCGAATCTGGAATGCTACTCGCGAGTTGCTTACGAGAACATGCTCAGAATTGGGTTTAGCGAGAAATCCCACAGACTGGCTCTTATAGGTATCATGGGCAACAGAGGTATTCCAAGCATTCATGAATGCACCAGTCCTGAAGATCATTAGTAACGCTATATGTATGTTATCTTAGAATAACATACCAGGCAGAGGACCATATGTCTTCGGAAAGCTGCTTTCGGTCTTGCTTTACACTTAAGAATTCGATAAAGAGCCCATTATCCTGAAACATGCCCTTCGTTTTCCATGCCAATTTGTATTTTTCGATAACCTCTCGCGACACGGAGGTGCCATCTCTGACATCATTATAGTGCAACGCAATCAACTATACTCGACATTAAATTCTCTGAGTGTTGCCTTCGGGATTTTGACGGTGAGCAACGTACCGGAAACTGGTTGCAATTGATGAAAATGCTATTCGGCTCGCAGCATACGCCCAGCCAGTTTTCCCGTTCCATCTCTGATATGATGGAGTTCTGTAAAGTTTTGCGGGTATAGCAAAATCTTTCAGGACCCATACCCCAGAACATAGGATCCCAATTAAACTCCAAGGCATCCTTCTCATTGTATTTATCGTCATCGAAGAGCATTGTATACAACGACACCATGAGGAGAAGGTGACCAGAGTACTATAAACGTGTTAACGTCTGTCACCTATTCTTAGAAGTCACCCGTTTCTTACCATAATGTTCTCTTTAGTGACTGGATTTGCCCAGGGTTTTCTCAGTTCCGTAAGATCAGGATCGATTCGCTTTCCACTATGGCTTGTCATAAACCAGTATCCCCACACGTCGCGTAGTAGCATTTTGTGGATAAGCTTCTCCATTAAGACCTTGAATACAGACCTGAGGAGTGGCAGTCTGTGATAATGAGTCAATGCTGAGGCATATACCATAGTTGCGAGCTGGTAGCGATATGCATCGAGCCATTCTTGACCTGGCTTTTGACACATCATATGACGCCATTCGCCATCACGTTGAGTTGCCAAATTATGGAAATGCCGCAGATGACCGACTTGTTCGCGAGATAGCTTCGGATAGTTCGCTAAGAACGCCTCGTCAAGCGTGTTAGAAAAGTCATAGCCTTGTGACCCCAATATTGTGGCTCCAGGTTTACTATGATCATCATAGCTAGGCGTAGCAGCTCTACATGGGGATTGTTAGCATCGATTATTTGGATCTAGTACGTTGGCTATGTAAAGACAGGTGATATGGGGAAATAAACTCACTCGGAGTATGTTGAGTCCATTATATGGAAATTCTGTTAATAAAGTTGAATTTTATGCTAGGTAAATGCCTGGTGTGCAAAGATTCCGACATCTAGCTGCCTCACACATTCTTATAGCCATCTCAACAACCCTAACACGAAGCAGGTTTTATGTCACAGGAGTTAATGGTACATCTTAGGTGAGCTGACTCGATTGAATCGGGTAGATTTGGCAATCGTCGATTAGCGGTTGACTGACGTGTACGTCAGGACTACCGCCGAGCTGCTTAACGGCCTTTCGACCATTGCTAGAAGGAAAGGGACATGTGTCGACTTCCATTTTATTGGCTCAAGCCAGGACTAGCATTTGGAAGGTTGTATGGTAGCTCTAGACTGGAGATATGCATTTGGTATCTTGTGGATGGGGGGCAACGGGGCTATCTCATGATATCGGAGTCTATCAGCTTAGAATTCAGTCATGGTGATCTGATGCAAAGGAATAAGAGGAAAGAGTAAAAAGGGAATGGGGGGGGGGGGGGGGAGGGAGATTATCAAAAGAAAGAGGGAAGGGGAAAGAGAAAATAGTAAAGAGCGAAGAGTAAAGTAGAAAAATCAAGAACTGCCTCTACATTCAAGCTCATGTGAGACCAAGCCACATTGGGTGAAGCCGGGAATGAGGTACCGGACTTAATCGAGTGAACCGTGCCTCGCGGCACGCGAGCCGCCTGCAGATACACCAAAAGAGGATATGCTGTTCCTAACATACATTATGCCATTCCACTCTAAAACCATGTTTACGATAAGTGGAAACCCATCAGGAAGTGCGACATGTCTCATCATTCTCTTGGGGCAGGCAGCATTCGGCCCTTAATTTCAGATTCTGCATCTAGCATCCCGACTTGTCGAAAAAGCTCACCTACTACCAAGTGTATTCTTGGCCCTGAAATTACAGGATTACGCACAACATAAAGCTCTCTTAAATAAAAGGAAAATAGTAACAACGATGACCGGTTTATCTCCGCCTTCCACGCCAGAATCTTCTCCTTTCTTCATTTTGTCCGTGTACGTTGCAGGATCTACAAGCCACAGCGACGAGTGCTCAAACGATGTGGTGTATCTCTCTAAATTCCAATCACATGCAAGTCGTGGTTAGTTAAAAGACCCATTCACCCAACATGCCGGCTGCATTTGGCGCAGTGGCATGATTGTGCAACCCTCAGGTTGTGACTGGTTAGTCAGCTAGCAAGGGGAGACGGCAAACACTCCGTGCAGGACACAAGCATGCCACTCTCTGAAATATGGTTAACATTTGGTAAGGACAAAGGCTTTTCGTCGCCCCGGTTCTACATTTCAGGTCCACTCACATACATCTTTTTTGGCCAAGCCCTTTCCCCTGACCCGCATGAAGCATGGCACACGGTACAAAGGTACTAAATCACCCATGTTACCCATTCTAACATGGAGAAGAGGTGTACAAGTTTGTACGATAGGGTTGGTCTGTCTAGTGATGATAGGACAGAC